ATTTCAGAAAAAAAAAATGGAAGTCAAAGATCAACGAAGATGACGAAAAGAAAGAGCGAACTGTGAACGTTCTCACGAATCTCAGTGATCCGACGGCACTCGAGAGAGCTTGTTCAACTCATCATCGCATCAAGACGTCTCGGTAATTCTCAAATCTGCAATTCGCACAAATCTTTCTTCTCATTAAAAATAAAAAAGAACGTCTGACGATACGAGAAACGAAACGAAAAGAGAAGTGATCCCCGAGTATAACACATTATAGTTCTGTTTAGATACCGGACGGAAGACATCGATCTCGAATTTATTAAAGTATAGATTAGCAACGACTCGTCGACGATAAACGTCCGGTGGTCGGTAATTAAACTGTTAAAGGGTATATAATAACTCCGAGCGTCCGACGTGATTTACTTAGCCGTATCAAATATTATCATAATTAATTACACGTGGCCAGAGACGGCGCGGTATATAATTAGCTGAAATCTCGAGATCGCCGATCGACGATCTGTTTAATCCCGGAAACGAGCAGAAAAGGGGACCACATTGTTCATTCGAGTTTGCTTTGGCCTACGAAATTTACACGGGACATGGAATGCGTGTTAGCCGAGCCGGGGCGCGCGTTTCCGGTCTCCTCTCTTTCCTTCCACCCGCCTGTCTCCCGGAGAAATCGCGTCATCGTCTTTTTATCTCGTGGCCCCGAGAAGAGCCAAGCCTTCATTTCTCGAGTGACGCGCGCGAGATTGCCGATCGATAAAAGGCCGTTTCACCCGACTCGATAGCAACGCGAATCGCGAAAATAAGCGGGCATGTATACATATTAATCGGCCGCGATGCACTGTGTCAACGATCTTAACTAGTGTCTACACGAAATTCGTCAGAATTTGGATATACGAGGTCTGACACAAGACGTAGATCGAGATCGATCGCAGGATAATGAATTGAACCTACGCGTTCTTATGGGAGACTTAAATCTCGTTGGACCAATAAGGAACACACTCTTTGAACATTTGCGAACACAATTGATAGTATCGCGTTATATGCACGCTTTATGCATTTGAATCACGTTAACAAAGCAGAATTTCAGAAAAAAAAAATGGAAGTCAAAGATCAACGAAGATGACGAAAAGAAAGAGCGAACTGTGAACGTTCTCACGAATCTCAGTGATCCGACGGCACTCGAGAGAGCTTGTTCAACTCATCATCGCATCAAGACGTCTCGGTAATTCTCAAATCTGCAATTCGCACAAATCTTTCTTCTCATTAAAAATAAAAAAGAACGTCTGACGATACGAGAAACGAAACGAAAAGAGAAGTGATCCCCGAGTATAACACATTATAGTTCTGTTTAGATACCGGACGGAAGACATCGATCTCGAATTTATTAAAGTATAGATTAGCAACGACTCGTCGACGATAAACGTCCGGTGGTCGGTAATTAAACTGTTAAAGGGTATATAATAACTCCGAGCGTCCGACGTGATTTACTTAGCCGTATCAAATATTATCATAATTAATTACACGTGGCCAGAGACGGCGCGGTATATAATTAGCTGAAATCTCGAGATCGCCGATCGATCGACGATCATTATCGCGTTTGGAACATTGCGTTGAACGAGAAAAAAGAAATTGGAAACGCTAAACGCGTGCGAACGGCTCGTGGAAAACACGGATTGAGATGTGTCACTGCGACCAACGAAAAGATGAGACACGGGCCAGGCGTGAGAGAAGGTAGACACGTATAGAACGCGGGGATGAAATCAATATGGAGAGCGTATCGAAGAAAATTATTGTTATCGAGGCGAGCAGGGCCATCGAGCGTGAAACGTCATTTTCAGGCCTCTATGGCTCGCTGCCACGCCGCGGTGATAGAGATTGCCCGGGCATAGAATCTAATTATGTGATAAACATTGTTGCGCGGCACACCTGCTCGTAAATAACATAGAATCAAACACGTATCACGTTACACCGTAATACACGAACGGCCCCGGGGGAAGAACAGGTCCCTGGGCCTGTTCCCGGCGAACCGCGATCCCGACATAAGCCGCGATGGGTCCTGCGCGTGTTCCTGCCAGGATTAATTATATTCTACCGTAGCCGAGTCGATGCAGCGCGACGAAAAGAGGGAGGCGTCGGTGCGTGCAGCAATTACGCTTTTTTCGTGCCGGTTTTCACGGGAAGGAAATTGAAAAGGAAGCAAGAACGGACGAAGGTGCTCGGGAATTTCGAACGATACAATAAAGGAGCGTTAATCGTTACATAAGCTAAGGCATTATCTGGAGCACTCAATGATTTCACTTAAAAAATCGATTTTTCGTCGTATCGCGTTGCTCATCGAAAATAACCGAGCGATCACGCGCTTACGTGGAATATTTATTCAAACAAGCCTTTAGAGCTAAGACCTTATCGACAGATACGATATCGGGCAACTTTTTCTCAGCTGGCTTCGACGCGTACTCGTCGCCGCACCGGCCACGTCGTTTGTTTGCCATTGCGTTTTTTTAACATTATAGTGCAATTATGTAGGAACGTAGAGGTGTACATATACAATTGCATTGACGAGGCGAGAGTGCGATAATTGCCGGATTTAATCGTAATATACTCGAGTCGTTATCGATAAATGCGTAATTGAAGATAACTCGTTTTTACTCATTTTTCCGAGTCACGATCAACGCAATATTAAATACTTGAAACCGATTACCTACGATTTTATCAATCGCGAGTAGAACTAATATCCCGTATCAATCGTACCAAGACTACGGATCTTATATGCATCTACAGGGAAACTAAGAACAAGAGTATCAAAGCAACGTACGAATTTTTATCTAAATCACATAAGCCACTTTGCATATGAGTTCAGGCTGTTACCGGCGCTTATGATCAACACTGTTACGCATGTTGTTTGCTCCTTGGTCTTTCCTTGTTCGCAACGCGTTACGAGCTCTTATCTTCGGAGGATTCGCAGTGTTGTTCACATTGCATTTTATTGAAACTAATAAAGATCCGGTTGTTTAGAATCAGATAATGCCTCTTAGCTCGTATCATTTTAATTACGATCAGTCTTATTTTCGCGGTATTGCGGGACTCGCGGCGGCGACACATTAGCGTCGCGATAATAAACACGACGATAATTCACGATTAAATACAATAATATTTAGTTTTTACGAAATAATCAGTGAGCTTTATCAGAAATTGAATCATGTCGTCGGCATAGATAGCATTTTTCCAATCGTTCTCCGCTCCCCTTACACCTGTGCCTGATCTATTTTTTATCAAAGTCGTAACACACATTTTTTACCCGTAAGAGTTTTACTGGTACTAACGACGTATTGCGTAGCCGTCCACGTGTCTCGCTACATACCTCGAGCACGTGTCATACAGGAAAATTAGATGCCCGATAGATAAATCTAATGCGTCCCTCATGCAAAGTGTATTAAAATACTCTATTACGAAGAGTTAAAATTCAAACGATCGAGCGAAATGCACTAATACTGCTGGTATTGACTCAAAATGATCCCTTATGGAAATCCAGTCTCGCTGTGAATCACTCGATTAATAAGGCGCAAATTATTGACACAATTTAATCAGCTCGGAACGTGTGGATTTTTCATTTATTTTCAGTAGATAAACACGATTATAAGCAAGTGCCTCGCAATAAACGCTATTTCCTTTCGACTGAATAGTGTCGTCACCGATAAGAAAGCACCCAATAATCGCAACTCGATAGGACGTGTATGTATATGCCATTTAGGCTTGTAATGTCGCGACGCTGAAAGCTCATAAAAAAAAAAACGACGAGATCTCTTTTTGCACCCCGGGTCAATCGTTTCAGCGAGCGCGAATTTCAATTACGTACACGCATGCAACGCGTACCTTCGAACGAGACGTTACACGAATTCATCCGGCAAGAATGATCCTATCGGTAGGTGGGATCGTTCGCGTATTGCACGCATGCAACGAAGAACGCAGAACGAAAGGAACATGTTCCAAAGGGGAGATTCCCACCGCAATCGGCGGACGCTCCCGCGAGTTTTACGTATGGAAATGCACGCCGATCCAGGTAAAGTTTACCCGAACATAATGGAACGAATGCACAATGCGCCATGAAAAGCGGGCTGGTAACAATGCCCTGTCCCATGCGGGGGTGGCGAACGCGAGGGTGGACTTACATTGACAGCTGACGGATCGAACCGCGTTTTCCCCCAAAATGCATTGGGATCGTTTCATGTTTCGTACGCGAACAAATAGCGGCTGGCATGACGCACGCACACGTCCGTTTGTCTCGGGAATCTCCGGTTTCGTTACTCTCCAACTCTTTGGTAAATCGAGGGAAGTAATCGTTCTTCTAATCGAACCGTGTTTTGTCGTACCATGATAAATATGCGTGCTCCGATACACGATTGTCAGAAAACAATTGATCGAAATAAAAAAAGATACCTAGACAATTTTTTTCGTGAACCATTCACTGTACATTCATATTGGCATACTAATCGGACCTTCTATGAATACACAATTGTAAGAGTTTTGATAGAAATATAAAATGAGAAATCGTGGTCCCTCATTAATTCATCAATATTTGTATTTCTCGGAATTATGAAATTTCAGAGTAATCCTGAGCTGTGTTAAAATTTACGATTCCCGACCTATATTAGCTACGCTTAACAATGAAATCATCTAAGCAAATTATCAAACATAAGTCACGTTCCAGGAACCGATATGAATACGATTCTAAGATTCAAATGAGTAAGTAAGCATCGTTGCACAAGCGGATATGAAATTAGAACCGCCGAATTATCTTGCACGTTTCACCTACCATTGTCGTCACTCAAATTATCATCAGACATACTCTGTCACTGAGATAACTATCGTTTCTGTAAACGCTAGGAAATAGGAAGAACGAACCCATTCGCAATAACATATTGATATGGCGATTAAACGTTTCCTGGAATTTAATCCCAGTACGCGATCATCGATTTAATTATAAATATTTAAGAGTAAAAACTCACCGTTTTCGGTGCCGCGGAGTGGTCCGGAAGGACTGCCACCGGTGGAAACACCTTCGTCCTCGCTGCTGCTGCTGCTAGCCTCACTGGGGCTGTAACTTCTCCTGCTTCCAGTTCCCCGTGGTATCTTTTGCCCGCTGTTGGCCGTCCCGTTGTTGTTGTCATGCATCCTACCCTGCAGTCTCTCGTGAATAGTCCTCACGCGCGAATGCAGCCTCTGCTGCTGAAGTGAACCGACCGAGAAGTCCAACGGCTGGTCGATCTCCGATTGAATCGGCGTCTGTCTCTGTGCACACACCGAGCCGGCGATCAGATTCTGCGGCAGCGGAACCTGCTGCGCGATCGGCGACGCTTGCTGAGGTTGAGGCTGTTCCTGGTGAACGCTACTCGGCGGGCTCCACCATTGGTGCCCGCCCTGGATAGACCTCCAAGCCTCGATGGTGTTGTTGTTGGTGGGGCTGCTCGTCTGTTTTTGCTTCTGCTGTTGCATCTGCATCTGCTGCTGAGACTGTTGCTGCTGGACCATCGCAACCTCCACCAGATTGTTGTTCTCCAGCAGATGCATGCTCGGTGTCTGCGTCATCGACGACGGCAGAACGAAAGGTGAAGCGCCCACCAAGGGTGGGCTCGGCTCTTGTCGCTGCCGATGATGGCTCGAATGCTGCTGCTGCTGCTGCTGCTGCTGTCTACCGTGTTGTTGCTGTTGCTGCTGTTGTTGCACCGATTGTTGTTGTTGCTGTTGCGAACTGGAAGACGGTACGATCACCGGAGGCGGTATTTGCCGGACGGTCCGGGCGGCCTCGGCGACCCACCGGCGCACCGCCTCGCTGTCGAGGCCCGCCAGCCCTGCGGACTTCGTTTTCGACTGATCTCCGGGCGATGATAAACCCTTGTCGGGTATCAGGCCGGGTAGCGCGAGGACCCCGGTGCCCGCCACCGCGACCCTGGGACCCGAAACGCCCCCGTAAGCAGCCAACGCCGCGAGATCCAACGTGATCACCTGCTGTGTCACCCTTTGGCGGACGAGTCTTCGTTATTCTCCCTCTACTGCAACCGCGAAACGTCTTTTTCGGCTTTTTGTTATCGAGCACCAGCTAGGAACAATACACACTCGTCAATATCCCTGTTTTATCCCGGCGAAGGTAGAGACCAGTATACTCGAATGATTGTACTTATCCTTCGGTATCACAGTACATTCCTGTAGAAACACTGCACTGACAGACGCGCACAGCTATGTTCCCCGGACACGATAAGGGCATCTATACTTGCACACGATTACCGGCTTTCTTTCTAGTCACTTGGATTTACCCTACGCGTTCGTAGACCGAGCACTCCTCGATGGTTATTAGACGGTACGAACCTGTCAACCGCGTATCGTCACTACCATCACATAGTAGATGACTCCGTTTCCCGCGAAATTCCACCTGTCATCGGTGGAACGCGTACACCGTCCACGATGATCGTGAAATTAGCGCCACCGACGCCGTCGACTGTCAGCTGTTCCTTGCCAAAGTTCGCGTCGAATCGGTGCCCGCGAACGCTTAAAAATCCCGATTGTGTCCGTGTTACCTGTCATCGACGCGTCACCCATCAGGTAGAATTCGCGGACAGTCCCGAGCACGCTCTGCCACGTAAATCTGTCGACGATCCCGGCGGGAGCTGTCACTTCGTTTCTCACTGTTTTCACTCGGCGCTGTTTAAAACGATCTATCGGCGATGTTACCGTTTCGTCACTCTATCCGCGTGTACACTCTCGTAGCTGTTCCCGTGGCTTAGAGGCGGTGATCGGAATCGTTATCGCAGGCACACGAACGTCCGCGACGAGGTACGACACGGAAGCGCTGCGGCGGCGGTCAGATGCTGTCGCGTGCATGTGTGCAGCTACACTAGAGGGCCCACGTACGCCCGGTCGGCCGCCTACCGTCCACGGGGAACGCGAACGCGTACACGGACCGTGGAACGGCAAAGGTGGGGGAGTTTCGTTCGCCTCCGGCAGTGGAAAACGGACGAAGAGGCGCGCTGCCAGGATCCCGGGTGGACGTGGGTGCGACGAGGAAGGTTATCGAGAACGCTGGAACCACGAAGAAGGCGCCTGGACGCTACGATACTTGGTGGGGAAGCTGGCGTCGGTGGGGAACGACGCTCCAATCGGGACGGGAAGCGGATCGCACGCGGCTCCGCCCGGTGAACGAAAGGCAACTTCCTTTGCTCGCCAACGCGCCTTTTTACCTCGCATACACCGGCTACTAACTTATGCTTACCCTTCGCGATGCAACCAGCACTCGACAAGGTAACCTGAATTTGCATACTCCCGAGATTCGAGCAGCCAATCCCGATGCCCCGTTGTCCCGCGCATAGCATCATCGATCTCGCCACTTTGGATTTCATTCTGTCACCACGCGTGTAAATTACCTTCTTGAATCGTCACCTTGCAAAGTAAGCATCACTATCGATTACCACCAGAGATTAGTAGATCACTGATGAGGTTAAACGCAATTAAACCGCAACTGTGATTAGCGCCTCTGACGGTCAAGCGTCCAAACCGAAAGAATTAATTAATAAGGTAGTTAGTGGAGCGTCTCTTGTTGTGTATACAAGGGTGCAAAGCCGAAGAATGGCGTAGTAGCTAAAGTGTCGTGGGATAAATATTCAGTTATAAAAAATAGTGTTCAGTCTCAATACTCGTTTCAAGTAAGTATTCCTGTCCAAAATCTTGAATAGATATATCTCTTAACTCAAGTAAAGAATCAAATCGTAATGTTACAGGTGCTTTCTTTGGAAGCAAGACACCCCATGTGAAGTGCGTAGAAGTGAGTTCCGTTTACATTCAATTGTTAAAGCATTTTTATTTGCGAATACACTTTGGACTGTGCTCTGGATTGCTGCCTGGCTGTACAGAATGCGGTGCGATGAATCTCAGACCAACGGCAGGTGGGTAAGTAATTAAATATTTTGAAATGTTAAAATTGTGGGTGGGTTATTCACATTAGAAAACGCATTGTTCTTTGCGTTTACAAATGCATGCCATAAAAATCGATGTGATCCAAGCGCATATTTTATTATACAATGTATATCCGATATAATGTAAACATGTGACATGCACATATGTTGAAGTGAAAATTCGTAAGCTTAGATGCTATTTTTGTTTCAATTGTTTATCGTAGCCTGTTGTAGGAAAATTGTAGCTATTGAATTGTTTAACGAGAGAGAGAGGGAGAGAATTCTGTAGACTCAGGAAAGGCGGTGATAGAATAACACTCGTTGACGGTTGCACTAATTGTGTTCGTTTATTGGAATATCGATTGCACCTGTACGTCTTTGAACCTTATTCGGGCGTCTGTTTTCCGGAGGGACATGCCATAGGTCAGTAGGTGACGAAAGCTACAAAGTGTATCTGTCTCATCTTTTCTATCTCACTATTTTCAGTTGTTCTACAATTTATTGTCTATCTTATGCTGTCGATCTTGAACATTGCAATTTGTCTCATTATTTATTATTTGCCCACTGATAGTCGGGCGTAAAGATATTCGGGAAGCTTCGTATATCACGTCCGCCATTCCTTTCACCTATCATATTTCCATGCACACAGAACGAAGCCACACCACTCCCAGCATTTGAATGCGGCATGCGCAGTCCCGTTGCAAAGAAGAAGAAAAAATGAATCGGTTTAAACTGGGTCTTTATTGGTCGCGGGATCCGCGCAGTATCCCCACTTCGGACGTCCCTTTATCCCTCGCATAGTGCGAGCATCCCTGCCATTCTTCCTGTTTTTATCGCGCTATCATATTTCCATACAGCCAGTGGCACCGACCACCACCACCGGGCCCGCCGCCTCCACTCGATATCCAGCTCGGCCAGATTTGAATCCGGCATGCGCAGTTCCCCGCACAAAAAGGGCGCTTTAAACAGGTTCTTATTGGCCATGGGAACGGCACCCCCACTTCCACGTCGCGTGTACCGGCTACCTAACCTTGCGAACGGGGCACCCTTCCTTCTTATCGCGCCCGCTACCCTTCGCACCCTTCCTCGCGTTCCTTTTTTTCGCGTTCCTTCCCCTCCGACGACCCCACCAGACGTCGCGCGACTCCCACGACTCGGGTTAAGAAACGCGAGCATCCCCTTTCCACCCCCCGACGTTCCCCGCCGTGCACGCACACGTAGACGGCCACGGGGTGGGTGCGACGAGGATGAATAGTACGGCGGGATGAAGATGGAAACGGGACGTGCCGAGTAGGATAGGGGAGGAGGGTGGACATCGTGGGAGACGGAGCGAGCCGGTATTGATTTTAATGACGCCCCTACCCGTCGCGATTCACCAAAGAGGCGCGAATAATATCTACGCGCTCCGATTCCGGGAGTCGAGGCATTATATGGGAATGCATGGCCATTTCTCGAACTCTCGTTCCTCGTCGAATCTTTATCAAGCAAACGTACCAGGCACATTTAGCATTTCCATACCGTATCTGATCGCGTATGAACGAAGAATTAGCTAAAAAAGTGGCGGTTATATTTATGTACGGAACACGTGCCGGAGGGTATAGAAGCACTTGCCGAAAAGTCGAGTGGCGGTATGAGAAGGGGTGCCTGGGACCCTGATCTGAATAAGGCGAACCCTTTCTCCAGCCCCTCTTTTTTATTCATCGCGCGCAGGTATTTGCATGACCCACGAGTCTGCTCGCAGGTGCTTTTCCGTTCTTCTCGCCCCTTTCCCGATCGTACGCGTTTGATTCGAACGGCGACGGCAAAGGGGTAACCGTTTGTGTATGGAAATACAGCCATAGGTGGCTGCGTGACGGTGTACCATTTGCCGTCGAGGTCGGTGATAGATCCTTAACGCTGCCTCATCGCATGTTGATTCAATAAAAAGGTGCACCCGACTGTGAACCCTACGCTCGCACAGGTGGAATCGTTCTGGCTAAGCTTTAATCCTATCCCTGACGTGCTTTTCAAAAAATTATTGAGTATATGAAAAACGTTCTAACGACAGCGACGAAGTTTATTTCGAAACAGGGCAAATTAACTCGATCTCAGTTTTCGTTTTTTCTCTCGTACGATCGAGGCATTCCGTTCGACGTTTTATTAGAACACCCGGTGGACCGGATCGGCCGGCCGGTGCCTGCTGACCTCGTGACCCTCTCGCAAACCCGACGACCTGTCCGTACGGTGTGTATACGCGAAGCGCAGGCTACCATTCGGCCACCTGCGGCTTTTGACATCTCAAGCAGCGTCGGTAGTGACCGGGCAAACACCTCTCTCTCTCTCTCCCTGCACGCGCGAACACACTCTTTGACAAAGGTACATTATCCCTCGCTCTCGGCTTTCCTTAAAACCTGTTTGCGGCTCGGCCGCGACCCTGCGCGCGCCATCCGCCTTTGTATGCCCCACGCAACGTCGGTCACAACATCGTCCGAATCGTAAAGAACGAGCCAATCTCTCGACGTTAATTGCTTTCGCATACGTACGATATCTGGTTGCAACCTGGCGATCGTAACAATCGTATCGCATAGATTACGGGTTGGGATTCCCTGCAGTCGAAACTCGTTCCGTAACGAAGTCTACGTTATTCGATATGTTTGATCTACATTTCTTACGTTAATCGGTCGCTTTGTGGGAAAACATTTTTTGCAGAAACTCCAAGGGATTTTTTTCAATAGAGAAATTTGAGCGATGTCCTCGCTCGGGAACGTTACCGTTAAATTTTTCAGTAAAGGAGGAAACGCGAGATTCTCTTGCAACCCTTGTGAAAATCGTTTCACCCCCTAGGTGGAACTTTTTTAGACGGTTCGTGGATCGCCACCCTCCGGGAATAATAAAGACGTCCCATTACGCTCGAAATTAGAGGTTTTGGTTGTACGGTACGCGGGAAGCGTTTATTTCTATCCGGGAACGTATTAACCACCGCGGGACGATAGGCCAGGTGCGCGAGAACATTATTTTGGTACACGGAAACTAGGGCAATCTCGCCGGAGTTCCTTACGTGACAACTTGTAAACCAAATTCTTACAATGCACTGTGTGTCGTTAAAAAAAATTTACAACATCCACTTACGAGGCGTGAAAACGTTTTCTCTGAAATAATGTACTTATCGTCAAGCACGTTTCATGTTTTTTCATTCATCTGTCATGTTTGATCGGTCTTTCTTCGACCAGTATTCTTTGATCGTTCAATTTTTTTCTCATCCACTCGCGGGAACTCGGGACGCATTCAGGAACGATTGTCCCGGCCACTTTCTCGCGCGGAAAAAGTTGCTAAGAGGACGAGCCGAACTTTACTGGCTCTCTGTTCTTACTGAAAACGAAGCTTTCTCGTTTTCCCTCCTCTCTCTCTCTCTCTCTCTCTCTCTCTCTACCCTTAGTTCCCATCTCTCTAATTCAGATCGAACGGTACGAACCGCCGATTTTACGGAAGAGGAGGGACGGAATGAGAGATAAAAAAACCAAATAAACCGTACGGACCGTTTTACAGTTTCCCGGACAGTTTTACTATCCGCAGTTTCCTATACCTTCATTTACGATGTACCAAAATCTTTGTTCCACCCACGTACCTTGACTTACGCAAACGACGGTATCGATTCATGCGTATTACTTATTACGTCACTAACTGCTTTCCGAAAAAAATTTGCAGTTTTTTTCTTTATGACGCTTGTATATCTTCTCCAAGACCACAGGCCTTTTTAACGAACCTCTCAGATAGTACTA